TTTGAAAGTGTCTTTGAATTAAGCTGTGAAATTATTGCCAGAAGGAGATAGTTCAAGCTAACATGTTGAGTCCTGCTTTCTACGACAGCTTATTAAATAAGCTCAACCCGTGGGCAAATATTCACCTGGCTCTAATAATATGAGATTTTGCAGTGATCTAGCTACCTTTATTTTGCAACGTGCAAGTAGCCTAAACTATTTTCTTTGAATGTGCATGACTTCCAATCCATTAGCCGCTATAGTTAAATAACTAGAAAAATAACAATGAGCAGTAAACGGTATTTGCAATACAAACCGGTGTGTTTATAATTATAATGATTAATTAAAATAATATAATAAAAATACCAGTTCAAGCAGCATAACAGACTTTTCGTACAGGTAAAATAACTAGGCAAATGACACCGGAAATGGGCATGCCTGTTCTTACATCAAAATAAGGTGGAAATTTTCATTATAATGCTTTTCAGAAGATGAACACTTTTTGTTTAGGCTTCTGGTTAGTTTACAATTTGGCAGTTTAATTCCAACTATGTAATATAGTATATTTACCTTTATGATGGGGTTACTGGAGAAACAATTGACCGTAGAGTTCTTGCAAAAGCTTTTTTTTAATTCATTACAGTAGTGTAGGAGATTTTTTGTATATTTTCCAAATTTCCTTTTACTACACTACTTTTTACCTAAAAATTGTTCAGTTCTTTGTTATTCAGAAGGGAAGAAACTGACGTGATAGCTATGTCCGATTCGTGAACGAATTGTTCTTTTGAACAGATTTCTTTCAATGTGCCGATTGAACAGGTTCACGAATCAAATAGATGATTAATTTATGAATTTGGCTTGTGCAATTGATTCCATCATCCGGTCGAAGCGAGTCTCAAGTTCTCATTCAGTCGGTTCACTCGGTACAATACATGACTATGGGATATCGCGCTCTCACGCTATTCGCTGAAGACACCTTTATTCATGCCTGAAAGGCCAATGACGCATGACGATATGGGTGGGGCTACCTGCCCACAGCATACAAATGCAGTCACATGCATCATTCCCTTTGTTCTTCAGCTCTTCACCGCACTGCTAGGATACTATCATGCCACATTTTTCACAAGAAAGAGCCCACGGTGGTGATTCTTGTTGAAGCTAAGGCGAAATAAAAAAAAAAAAAGGGTTTTAGCTCAAGTTTAGCTCCGCTAACAAGGGCTAATTAACTCTTTTCAAGCAAGATGTCTCAGCACAAGAAAGGTTCTCGCCCCTGTCCTATGGCATGTGGGTATTTACTGTCTGTAAAGGATACTCACGAGCACTGTCTGGTGTGTTTTGGTATTGTCCACGCTAAGTTGGCTCTCTCCAACCACGGAGCATCTGTGCATTGCCGGCAGTTCCGTCGTTCCATGCTCGAGCGGCGTGTGCTTGTTGGGGCAGTGGCACAGTCTGCTTTTGTCCTCAGGGGCTGATCCAGATGCGGCTCTAGCCGTTTTGGAGGAAGCAGAGGAGGACAGGGGTGTTCCTCTGATTGCTCCTGAGTTTCATCAGGATTTTGGGTGTCGTGACGATGAATCTGTCTCGCTTGATGCGGGCAAAAAGTTCTCTGACAACATTTTTCAACCAGGGCAAATCCCAGTTTCTCCCTCGCCCTCCAAGCGGTGGGTGGAAGTGAGACAGTAGAGGATCTCTTCATTGATCTATACCGGAGAATGGCAGGTACAGAAAAGCTTGTGGTTCGGCGGGTTCTATTTGTCTCTGGTGCAGACAGTGGTAAGGACACGCTTGCCGCTTTATCCAGATTTTGTGGCAGAGCTCACATCTTCGTGGCTGAAGCCCATGTCACCCCCTCCTCCGGTGCCAAGTCCAAAAAGTTTACGGAGTTCGAAGGAGTGGGGGAAGCAGGGATGGTGTCTGCCCCCCCAATGGAACATTCTCTTGCTGCAAACCTGGCGCCCACACAAAATAGTGGTATCACAGGTACCCACTCTCCCAACGGGTCCTTGCCGGTTCTCATACAAACAGCTCGGCAGGATTTATAGTGATCAAGCCTGCACGGCTAGAGTGTTGAGCTCTATGTCCTTGCTGCAGACTTACCAAGCCATTACCAAGATTCTGCATCCTCGACTGGAGCTGTGGACTGAGAGGGAGAATCTGATGGCAGCGGGGCTCCCTATCAATGTAGTGGCTGCAATTCAGAGCACTAGGGAACCATCAACAAGGGGGCTTTACATGTTGAAGTGGCGCATATTTGAAGATATTTACATATATTCTGCAGGAATTGTTGGAGATATTGGAGATAGTGGCCAGATTGGCCTGTCATGAGGGCATATATGGTGCTGTGCCAAGCGCGCACCCACTTGCCACTCAGTTTCTTAAAGGGACGCGGCTTCTGAGGCCCGTTACAAAATCAATGGTCCCGTCATAGGACCTGATTGTGGTTCTGGAGGTTATGTGTGAACCTCCATTGGAGCTGTTAGAATCCTTGGATGTAAGGATGTTGTCTTATAAAACAGCCCTGCTGCTGTCAGTGTATCCCACGCGCATCCAGTTTGTGTTGGATGGGTCGAGGGTGGTGTTGCACCCAAACGCGGCGTATATGCATAAAGTCTTATTAGGGGCATATAGTGCACTCCCATTTGAGCTGCCCGCCCTGTCAAACCTCTCTATTGACTCTGAGGAAGACAGGAAGCTTCATGCTTTGTGTTCTCTGCGAGTTCTACGCAGGTACATAGAGCAGACGCAGGCCGTGCGTTCTTCTGATCAGCTGTTTGTATGTTTTGCCAACCCAGTTCGGGGGAAGCCGCTGTCTGAACAGAGTCTTTCACATTGGATTGTGGAAGCGATTTCAATTGCATATAAGAGTAAAGGGTTGGCTCTGCCTACAGGGGTGTGTGCGCACTCAACAAGGGGCATGGTGACATAATGGGCTTTGTTTAGAGGAGTGTCTGTGGAGGACATCTGTGCAGTTGTTATATGCATAACTTAATGTTAACCGTTCGCCGAGTTCGTATTGTTCAACTCAAAATGAGCCAAGAACCAGAAATAATATTATCCTCAAGATGAATTATAATAATTCCTAATAATACTGAGCGTTAACCTATTTCAACCATTTAAAAAAGAATAAAAGTTGGTTATTGATATCTAAACACGCTCAAAAGTAAATAGTTGTGTACTTATATAACAGTATAGAAATCTAAAATAAGTATTTATAGTTTTACTGAGAAATACTTGATCAGGGTATCTGCATTCTGCACTTTAATTCAGGAATTGTGTACTTCCTTCAACTTTGCTTTTGGGTCTCATTTTGTTTGTTTCTCAGTGAACTGCACTTGTAAAGTTCCTTAAAAGGTTCAAAGATGGTTATAGACTCTATTGTGCTGCTGTAACACATCATGGCCTTCATTTTGCACTCATATCTCCCCAGACAGAATTAGCACAGCTTTTTAAATCAGCCAAAAGGCTGGGCTCCATTCCGAGCTTACAGTATGCCTTCAAACCATTAGCCAACTTTCTCTAAACAGACATCATGAATATTCAAGCTACGTTTTAGGGCAAGTGGCTTCATATTGCACAGATCTGAGATGAACGTACGGTTTCAGGCAGAAGGAAAGGGACCGAGGGGTAAAACACTTTGCATCTAATGGATCTGGGATGGGTGCACATTCATCTAGTCAGGTGACAGAGCTGTGTGTCAGTGTCATGCTCTGAAAATGGTGATCCAATTGAGGATGATGCATACCCATTTAAATTCCACAGCAGCTGGTGCTTCGTTCCCACAGCCAGACTCCTCTAAATCACAGGAATTGACATCTGTGGAAGATGGTGGGAGAAGCACTGAACAGATGTTGGTTATTATATGGGGAACTCATGTAATCAGAATGGGGAAACAGATCACAGTCTGCAGTTAGCACAAGCCTGTATACTGTACCCTCACTTTTGGCTTCAAAATACTATACAGTTATGCACACTAAGTCACTGCCTAGTATTATTGTGAATGATAGTGATTAAGAGAACCAAATCACAAATGTTTATTTTCACTTTGAAACAAGAGTTCCAATCTCATTTCCCCCAAATGATGTATTTAGAGTCATACACGTTCACTGAAAAATAAATAAAAATTAATTATATATTGATGAATATTTCAATACTGCCAATATTAAAATGAAAGGGCAAATGTTAAAATGCAATAAAACATTTTTAGGTTTTAAAATACCTAAATAAAATAATAATTTAATTTGATTTGGCATAAACTACCTTTGAAATAATTGCTGGTCTGTAAATATGGTTTGGATATAACATTGCCCTCTAAATAGTTAAAAATGGCACATTCTAGTGGATATCATGCAGCATAAGGTGGTAACACTTTAGAATAATGGTCCGTTGTTAACAAGTAACTATGCAGGAAGTAATAGGTAGTACTACATTAACACTTAACTTAATACTATTAACTAATAGAGAAGCAAGATTAACTAAGCAGTAAGTAGTAGCAAATTTAGGACAAAGGTAGTTCCTTATTAGATATTTGATAATTACTAAAAAAATATATCCTCATTGAGAACTACTTGCGAACTATGACCAATTAATAAAGAATAACCAATGAATTACTTGTTAACAACGGATCATTATTCTAAAGTGTTACAGTTTTATTAACGATTCATTTGTTTGTTTTATTTGCTTGTTTTAAAACCCTAACAGGAAACATACAACATGACTTACAAAATTGTATGATGATCTGCACGTGTATTTATGTTTAAAACATTTTTTGCACATCCATAATCTATTGTGTCCTTGCTTGTTTTTCTTATGCTGGTATCTTATCAGAACTCGAGCAGATTCCAGATAATCCCATAAAGAGAGGCAAAATATGCCCTTATTATGAGATCTTCCTCCAGCTTACAGTAGTTCTTATCTCACAAGCAGAAAATTCAAAACACACCGCAGTCCTTCATACTTCATGATTTCAGAATAAATGCCAATTGAAACAAAAACATTCAATACAACAGGCAGTTTTCAACTCCTTTAATGGTTCAGTTGGTATATATTTCGGACGCATTTAAGTTAAGGGATGAGCTCGACACAGCCATACGGCATAAAACAACCATTCAATTGAATTTAAAACAATAAAAAAGCAATTCACATTAAATAGTTTAACAGCTCAAGCGAGTACAGACAATATGCAGTGAAGCCAATGAATTAAACAAGAATCCAGAGTGACATTCAATGGATGCAAAGCTCAAAGGCCACAAACCCAACCTGAAATGAGTGTGTGTTAGACACGATTGTGTGCTTCTGATGTAAAAAAACAAAAAAAACAAAAAACAATGCATAGGCAAAATAAAGATTTACAGTTAAAAAGAAATCAAATGCATGTTCCTGTCATAATGCAGCTGTCACATGGACAAGTAATCTTGATGACTGAAGACATTCAATCAAATACTTATTGCTGATATTAGCGAGAACTATAAAAGCCATTTTCATTAAAGGACTTACATCCACAGATTAAAAAGAGGTGCACACTGATGTTTAAAGCATCAAGGCTCTTGTGACCATTACAGAGCTACTTGAACATACACCAGAGACCACAATGCAGGCATGCGTCATTTCAAAACACTAAGATACAATAATTATGTTAAGCAAGTTAACAAAACATGAATACACATTAAATACTGAACATGAAATAATGTTACCAAAAAGGTCAGAGGCCAAAACACAAAATCGATTTAATTGAACTCCTAATAGAAAAAAGGTTTGGTTTTCATTAAGTTATTGCAGGACGTTTAGCATGCTCTGAATTCACACAAGCTTATATTCATCTTCGACTTCAATTAGAAAAAAAAATAAAAAAAGTGTTTCGTTAGCACCACTCAATCAAATATATGCTGACACATACTCACATCCGAGTATGGCACGTCCTGTTACACCGCTTAAGGCTGAGGCTTTCCATATGACATGTAAATTTGTTGTTATTACAGTTTCTCAAGTCATTTGTATTAAAACTTGGTTACAAATCAGGACTGTAGTTTAAAAGGGGTCTGTGTCTGTCTACATTTTAAGACATTGAAAAAATAAATAAGGACCCAAGACATTCATTAGATACCTTTAGAAATATTTTACATAAAAACACAGCTGGCACGACTCGTTCACTTTTCTACTTTTTTCTCACGTTGTGTACAAAAAAGGCTATGAAATTTCACATTAATCCAAACATCGAAAAAAAAGAGATCATGAAACATCAGGCCATTTGTGTACATCATTCTGGGAGTGTGTACGGGCCTCGTCCATTTTGACAATTCAGTATCCCCCACAACAACTTTAATGTTTTTTTTGATGAAATTATGATGCGAACGATTACTAAACAATCAAAAACCCTGAAAATAATATAGTAAAAAAAAAGAAGAAGAAAAAAGAATCTACCTGCAGGATCCTGTGGACAATAAAAACAAGAAACTACATACACCGAAAAAGAAAATTGTTTGTAATAACATAACCCATAAGGCGATTTATATTCTTTTTGACCAGACAAATGAAGCTCTTGGTCCATTAAGTCTCTCATGGCAACAAATATAAAACGCCATTATGGAAGGATGATGCAAACACTAAATTTAATACCCAAATCTAATATTTACCCGCCAGGACTCTTTCTGACTCATTTGCTTTAAGTCATCAGGTAGTGCGGCCGCGGGGCCCAATAGTGTACAGTTAGTGTGAGGAAGAAGAGGGGAATGGGGAAGAGAAGGGAAGTGGGGCAACTGGCATGCAGCAGAGCCCCGCCCCTCTCTCATCTCAGGCTCCGCCCTCTCCATCAGTCAACAGTGTTGTGTTGTGTTCAGCTGTAGTGACTTGGCATGGCGAGAGCTCACTGTCTCCTGTCCTCAGTCTCTGATCTTGAGAAGGCCATCACCACATCCTCAGCTCCTGCGGGGGAAAAAAACAAACAAAAGTGATTACGAATATTTTACATGAAATGTATAAATATTTTTTTTAATTAACAGAATATTACAGATAATAATAACAATAATACATATTTTATTATAAATATATATATGTTTAAAGTAACTACAAACAGAAATTTTCAGTCAAAAATGAAATAATGCTCTGAGAAGATTACTTATTTCAAGACTATTCGTATTGTACAAAGTACTACACATAAAATAAATACAGCCACTCTCCAGGCTATTATCCTAACAGCTTTATTAGGTAAGGAAAATGTAATCTTCACAACAGAGCAAATTACGTGAGCTCGTTCAATGGCAGCACACAATGATATAATGGCTGAAGAGCATGCAGGCTGTGTGGTGTGTAATTAAACTCAGACAATGCCTTACAATTGTCTGCCTTACAAACACTCCAGTCAGAAAAATTACAGCAACACTGGGATAAATAAAAAAACAACAATAATATAGGGTTATGTTCTGAATGGAGACATACTGCATACTGTACAGTATACAGCGAATACTTCATACAATTTTTTTTAGATAGCATGTAAAACATGCATACAATATGAAATGGTAAACATTTAGAACAGTACGATGTAGAACATCTGTTGTTCACTATTTTGTATTTTTTAGTCCAAGTAAAAATGTCTTAATTACTGACATTCTGGTTATATAACAAAGCCAAGCGCATTAAAACATGTCACTCACTAGCAACCCCAAACTCATGAGTTCAAGTCATACTGAATGCATGAACGGCTGAAATGCATACATTTAAACGTATGTAGAAGTATTATGGAAAATTGTTGCTCAATGTAGTGGGTCATCTGGGTATTCAGTGCATACCGCAAGTTAGCAGTATGCTATTTCGGATATTGCCAAAGTATCTAAAGTCTGATGTAAAGATGAGCCTTCTTTAAACAGCACTGACCCCGCTGACTCCTCAAATCAATATTTCACACATTCATACTCCCACTGCCCTGATCTCTGACCTGGAGAACTGTGGGGATGGGTGTTCACAGTCTATCATAATGAGTCCATTCATAAGAGTCAAACTAGATCATAGTAATAATGAATACAGAGCAGATACCTATAGCCCTCAGTTTGTTCACATAAACAGCTTAACGTCAGGGTTAAATCAGCATCTGCTTTTGTAGCATGTGGCATGAGACACAACACCCCCAGTACCAACCACTGCTTAGGGTTTTCTGTGCCACACTGATAAGAAATGCATCTAAAAGCTTCTATAAACCAAATCTACCAGTGTCCGTATCTGAAATATGGACTCTGGGAAAACAAACACTGCGAGAGATGTCCTCTAAAGACATGAAAATGTCACCGGCAGATTGCGGGAAGTCTGCGGGGTGTTTAAAGAAGGAATGAGAGCATTTGTGATTTCAGTCAGGTTCGGGACAGATTCTCAGTGAGGGAAGGCGCTAATCAATTCCAATCCTGAATTAACGATGCCACCAGGGGAAGGAAAACAAACCCCTGCAAACCAGGTAAACAGGATTTGTAGGTCCAGCTGTCCCAAGATGAAGAAGGATTAATAGCAATCTCACAAATGTGTAAACACAACATAAACAGCAAAACCTTGAGCTCTGGCTGGATTATTTTGAAAGTCATGTAGGAATTGCTGCACAGGAAGTGCTCATGTGTCTAGATGATGTAGCCCAATATCTTATATGTTTGGCAGTCTTAGTTATGGACCTAATTTTTTATTCTAAACTGGTATGTTAATAATTTCCTCTGCCTTTCATGTGCTCTAACCCAGTGGTTCCCAAAGTGGGTGCCATGACAACTGGCTAGGGGTGCCGCAGAATCTTAGCTTTTTTTCCAATTTAAATAACCTAAAATACTATTGTACCATATAACCTTTTACAGCATATATTTTAAAAATAGGCTATATCAAAACACCAACATATGAACATGTCCAAACGAAAATAAATCGTGAAAAATAAAATGGAAAAATAACACTGATATATTTCATACTTATTTAAAGTTTAATATGTATTTACCGCCAATTGTTCTCAGGAGACAATCGCCCCATCTGCTCCGCTCAGTTCCGCCCTTTGTAATGGTGCGTGCTCAATTTTATATTTCACGCAGTGATTGACAGGACACGAAATTCGTGTTGCTGCTAATAGAAGGTGTTGACCGTTTTAGCGGTGGGAAGCCGCAACACCGGTTATGTCACTTGCCCAACGTCGTTTTGATTTTTTATAGTAATAAAAATCATTAGTTTACTAAAATTAAAACTGACTGCGGCTGCTCAATGCAGCGTGCCGAATGACAGTCGCATCACAGATCAGATTTCATTTATCCTGTGAGGAGAAGCTGACAAAGAAGAGTGAAGTAAGACAGACAAGACGATGGCAGAAGAGTTTCAAAACGACTTGAAAAAGCGCCTGTTTTAAAAAATATTTTGGATTTTGAAACGCCTGTTGACTTCTGCCATTTATCTAAGGTGATATTAGAAGTTTTTTTAAACATTCATTTCTTATTTATTTGGTTCCACAGTGTTTGCTGATTTAAATGTATTTAAACTGTATATATATATTTTCATATATATATATATATGAAAAGTAAAAAATTATATATATCAAGTATGCCGTGTCTCCAATCTTTCTTATTCGTTTTTCTT